AAGCTTGTCAGTAAAGTAAATCTCTTGATGAATCCCTGGTAATTCCTTATTACATGAATGGCCACATCACCTTATCTGAGATGAATTGCCATTATCAGTGGCATGTGAAAACATTTTTGGTAATTAATAAAATCAAAGATATAAATTCACCTTCTAGTGTTCATATTTGCAGTCTATCATTTTCAGTGTAGTTTCATTCTCTACAACCTTAATCTATAGCGCCATTAGTATTAAATGTGTCCTGATGGGGGTGTCCTTCTGTATACTGTGAAAATGTTTCTCTTATTGGTTGATAAATAAAGCTGTTTTGGCCAATGGACAGGCAGGATGTAGCCAGGCAGGAAAGTATAGGTGGAGCTACCAGACTAGGAGAATTCTGGGATGAGGAACACAGACAGAAGCTGCCACAGAGACACACATATCTACTGGGAAGGTAGTAAGCCCTGGCATTCTCTGATAAGATAAGGCCATGTAGAAATACATAGATTAATAGTTACGGATTAATAATTAAGAGAGAACTAATTAATAGTATGTCTAAGCCATCAGTGAAATAGTTTATAATTAGTATAAGCCTCAGTGTGTTTATTTGGCACTCAATGGCTGTGGGACCAGGTGGGACACAAACTTCTGTCAACATTGTCCTCTGGTTCTAATTATTTTATTTATTTAGTTAGTTATTTAAGTATGGATGTTTTGCCTGCATGTATGTCTGTGTACCACATGTGTGTATAGTGCCCACAGAGACCAGAAGACTGTGTCGGATTACTTGAGACTGGAGTTTTAGACAGTGGTGAGCTATGTGGTCCTGGGGATTGAACCTGGATCCTCTGGAAGAATAGCCAGTGCCATTACCTGATGAACTATTGTGCTAGCCTCTGTTCTCTGATATTTTATTTGATCTACCAAAGATGAGTTTTTGTCATAAATTCCTTATTGAACGCATTTGTTTCATTCATATCTTTGGGTCTGATAGGAAGCTCATTCTATCTGTAGTGATTTTATGATGTGTATGCCATAAGCTAGTGTTGATAAACAATTCATTTCTATTCAGATTTTCAATAATGCTTCATTCTGTGTTCTAAGGAAATTGTCCATTTAGTACAATAATGGGTATTTCTTACTTCTATAGCATATTGCATATTTTTTAAAATTAGAAATACCAGGGCCGGGCGGTGGTGGTGCATGCCTTTAATCCCAGCACTTGGGAGGCAGAGGTAGGCAGATCCTTGTGAGTTTGAGACCAGGGTGGTCTACAAGAGCTAGTTCAAGGACAGTTCCAAAGCCACAGAGAAACCCTGTCTCAAAAAACCAATAAATAAAGTAGATTCAATAAAATTAGAAATACCTATTTTAATGCATAAAAGTGAAAATGAGATCATTAAAGTGGAACTTACATGGCCTAGACCGTAAATCATTTAAATTATTTTCACTACCTTAGGAGGTTGCAGGTTTTGAAAATAATGGAAATGCATTGATTCTCTTCAAATTTTACATCAAGTACAGAAATGTAGCATTTTGACAAATCACCATTTTACCTCTAGTGTTGATATAGCAATTCCAAGTTCTTGTGTATTTGGGGCTCAGTTTAAAAGAAATTCACGAGCGCTAAGGGATGTCTTAAAGAATACATTTCCAGCCAGGCATTGGTAGCACATGCCTTTAATCCCAGCACTGGGGGGGGGGGGGGGGGGCGGGGGGGGGTGTTCGAGACAGGGTTTCTCTGTGTAGCTTTGGAGCCTATCCTGGCCCTCACTCTGGAGACCAGGCTGGCCTCAAACTCACAGAGATCCCCCTGCCTCTGCCGCGCCCCCCCCCCCCCCCCACACACACACAAAAAAAAGAATACATTTCCATTTGAAAGCCATGGGCAGAGACTGTGGAACCTGGAGGCCCTTGACCTTCAGCATCCACGTGTACAATTCTCCTGTAAGGAAAGTGGGTTAAATGGAGACATGCCTTGGCAGCCAGCCCTCAAGAAACCCTGGAGCACGCGTGAACACACACACACACACACACACACACACACACACACACAGAGTCCTCACGTCCAAAAGTCAAGGTTTTCATCAGAAAATCAGTTGCTGACTCGGAGATGGAGGTTTGGCCCTTCCTTCAGTCTTCTTTATCCCCTGCCCAGACATTTCCCTTTTCCCACTGTCCCTGGCCCAGCAGACACTTACATGTGCTTCCTGGCTAACCCTCCATGTTAAGTACAACTTAGATAGTTTACCCTTACATGTGAATGCTGTTAGAACTAGTCAGTCCTCCAGCATGCATCCATGTTCTCTGGTTGGCATGAAGCACAAGTCTCATGATGTGCTCACCTCATCTGTCTGAAGCTGGTATTTCCTCTAGAGCAGATTTTGCTTTTTGCTAGTTTGGAGTTTGCTAAGTCATTATACATTTTATTTGGCACTATGAGTTAATCCACAAACCACCACAGGCCAGTTAGAAGCCAACAGAGCACAAGTGTTATTATATAATAAATCTCAAAAAGGTTAACAACATTAGCTTGTTGTAACTTAAATGATTGTTAGTAAAAGTTGTTACTATGGCTTAAACAGTTGATAGAGATTTCCCATGTCTTCAAGTGCCAGTCCTGGATTTAGTTTGTGCAGAATAGGAAGAAGACATGGAGACCTTGGTGTAGGAGTGCTTCAGGGAGGGCTTGAAAGACAGTCTAGCTGTATTGTGTCAGAACACCATCAGATTCATAATCCTTCTACCTCAGGGTTACAGCTCTCTTCCTTATCAAGCTTATGAAAATATCACATATATTGTTTCCCATTACATCAGTGGCATCCATTGCTACTTTTTCATCAAAGAGGGAAGAGAGTTCTTTCTAAGTATATAATAAATAATTCTGACAAAATTTGCAGTTGTTGGGAGGTAGTATATACTTTAACAATTTGTTTTTGTGTGAAACTGGGTTTTAGGTAGCCTGAGAGTTGGGTTTAAGCTCAGTTTGTAGCTGAGATGACCTTGAACTCTTGATCTCCTGCTTCCACATCCTGAGTGTGGAGAGCTGTCATTATAGATGTGAGCCTAGCCCCCAAATTTGAGTTTCTTTTAGTCAACAAAAAGTTTCTACAAATAAAGTTCTTTCAAAAGACTATGCCTTACCTAAGTACCAAAAACCCAGTTAAGGAAATTGTTATACATTGTGCTTTGTGTCTGAGGCTTTCAGTGCCAGCTGCTTATTAGACAGTTCTGCAGAGGACTTTGCCACACAGCTGGAAACTGGTCTTGACTTACAGTTTTGAGGTCAGGAGTTGAGAATCTTAAAATTGTTGATCCCTGCCTCCTGAGTTTGTACCCATCATGTTTCACTTCCTAATGTTTGAAACCTGTTGAGGACTTCAGTTTGAAGACTCTGGGCTATGTGTCAGCCCTAACTGATGCAGATCCTGGGACCTAGCCTTGAACAAGGCTAGGGTAATGGGACCAGCTCTAAGGCCCCATCTGGGGTAGACCTGTGCAGGTGGTATGCACACTGCCTTGGTCTCTGTGAGTTCACATGTGCACCAGGCCTGTCGTGTGTAGAAGACCTTGATTCCTTTGGTGTCCTCCATCCTCTCTGGCTCTTACACTCTTTCCACCTCCTCTTCTACAGAGTTCCCTGAGCCCTGAGGGGGCGGATATGATCCCTTTAGGACCCAGTGTTCTGTGATTTCTGTGATTTCTCCCTCTCTGCATAATGCCTTATCAAGAAGCTACCACAGTGGAGCAGAGTCAGTGGAGACTCAGGGGCTTGTTTATTCAGTAAAAGACTAGAATCTTAAATCTTATTTTTATGTTTCAATTTGTAGAACCTAGTAAATGGTTTAACTGACAGGAATGCCGTGCTTATTTCCATTAATTTGAATGACTATAATCTCTTATCATTAAAGTTTTTATCTTTTTTATACTGCTATTCAAGTATAGTTTTAAGAACATTTGCTTAGCTGGGCAGTGGTGGTGCACACCTTTAGTCCCAACACTTGGGAGGCAGAGGAAGGCAGATCTCAGTGAGTCCAGGCTGTTCTACAAAGCAAGTTCCAGGACAGCTGTGACTGTGTCTTAAAAGACCAAAAAAAAAAAAAAAAAAGAAGAAGAAGAAAAAAAAAAAAAAGAAAGAAAGAACATTTGCTCATTCAGTGGCCTTGACATTTGTTAATTATTATAAATGGTGACTAAGTAGGGAATTGGATTGAAGAAGAATGGATTGGGATTCAGGAACATAATTTATATATACCTTGTATTCAAAACCTAAGTCTCATTTCATTGAATCTTTTCTTTGTAATATAGTTGGTGTTTACCTGAGAGTCTCAACATTTGAAAACATACCTAGGAGTAAATTAATATTTGTATCCTACAGTGTCAAATCTGACTTTAAGGTTAGGCAAGCAATGATTGACAATTTGTCTTTTTGAGGGACTGTTTTTAGCAGAGTGTTTTAAGTGCTGGTTTCATCGCCTGACCTTCAGTTGGAATGCCATGGCTCTGTGAAGGCCATGTGCTTCGGTTCTCTAGAGTGTGTTCCAGACTAAGCTCAAATGAGCCATTTTGTGATGGAAAGAGCTATGCATTGTCCGTCTGTCCATCCACACCAGCTTATACCTTCAGACATGTATTCACATCTTTCTGGATATTGTTCCCACGACGCCTTATTGCTCTCTCCCTATGTCTTTACTGTCAGAAAAATGTTAACCTGTCTGTTGAGCAAATAGTCTCATTTCTCAGGCTAGAAGTACATCTTTTCAATCTTGTCTCAGGAGGCAAAGGATTATGTAGCTCTCCAGTGAGGAAGGGAATGTACAGGCAGCTTCAATCAGTTGGAAACAGTCCCCACAACATATTTTTAAAAGAGAAATAGCTTCCAGTAAGAAACATATCCCTGTTTATTTTATTTAAAATTGTGCTTATTGGCCTACATGCTAAGTGATCAAGGCTTGCATCTGCCGCTAGCTTTGAATTTGTTTACCTGCATGTTTTTTTCTGATTCTGCTTGTGTTTTGTAGGTAGCTGACTGCTCCTGGGATGAAACCATAAAGATCTATGACCCCGTTTGTCTCACAGTTCCTGGTTAAGATATGCTGCTCTGGTCTGAAGCTGGGATATTGGCTAATGAGCTACTTAACAAGAAAACATTAACTACTGAAAAGATAGAAATCAGGCCTTCATATGTACTGAGATTTAAGAATTTTCAAACTTATGTTGAAATAAGTTTTAAGGCAGCTGATAAAGACATTGTATCATATTGTAAGCCTGGTACACAAGCCATATTTTCTGTAATCCTAAAGAATAATTATTGTTATGACATATCTTGTAATGTCTATTAAAATGTTATCTCTGTATTGTAAAATGGACTAAAATATGGGAAGTTAGTAGATTACATGGACAGTAATATATTTCATTTTTAATTTGTCATTTTGGATGTAAAATATAACCACTTCTGTTGATAAGAATCAAAATAAACTATGTTTCTTGATCGTATATAATTTGTGACATCCTAATGCAGTTGCCTTGTAAAAATGTATTGTGTATATGGATCTAATTTTGTATTTAATGTAGATACAGCTGATGTTTATACATGATCTCTAATGTAGGTTTACATTATTTGGTAGTTATTTATTGAGCATTCACCATGTATCTGACATAAACACTGAGTGAAATTCTCTCAGGATAGTGATGCTATAAGCTGTAGAATACTGGGAGTTAAGTTTTAAATTTGTATTTAAATCCTTTTAGGTACTATACCCAGGACATTTCTTTCTCTTCCCACTTCTTCACTATCAAAACTTTTTTTCCAGGTGTGGCAGCACACACCTATTAATCCCAGGCTTTGGGGAACTGAAGCAGGAGGATTGCAAATCTTAGGCCAGCTTGGGCTACCTAATGAGACCTTGTCCATCCCCTATCCTTACCCCCTCCCAAATGCCCTGGTCCTAGTAAGTCATCTAGTTATTGCACTTTAAGTGGTTTTAAATTATAATTTAAGCCCTCTTGGATACCTCCCTTAATGAAAAAATTACAAATGGTGGAAAATGTTAAAGTGAAAAGTTAGTAAAAGAAAGCATTTGCAAAGCACTTATTTTATGTCAGATATGCCTTGTAGAAATGTGGGGTCTTAAGCTTCTGAGAATGTTAATTTTATTAAATATTTGTTTTGAGTGTGAATGTATGTGTGCATATGGGTGTCTTTTGAGTGTGGCAGTCAGAGGACAACTTTGGGGAGCAGGTTCTTACCTTTCACCATGTAGGTCTTGATGGAAGTCAGATTGTCAGGCTGGGTAACCGGCACATTTACTCTCTGATCTAGTTCATCAGCCCTTAAATTAGAAGAGGAAAAGATTCCCCATGCTTGTGGATTGTTGGAATTAATATTGTGAAGATGACCAACCTACCAAAAGCAGTTTACAGATTGAACTCAATACTAATCTAAATCCAGTGACATTCTTCACAGAAATAGGAAAAAAAGAACACAAAACAAAACAAACAAAAAGGCAAACAACGCTGAAGTTTATAGGGGAACATGAAAGACCCTGAACAGCCAAAGCAATCCTGAGCAAAAGGTACAGTGCTGGAGGGATTACCATACCAGGTCTCAAGCTATATTACAGAGCTGTAGTAATAAAAACAGCATGATACTGGTGCAAAAACAGACATGTAGATCAATAGAACAAAATAGAACACCCAAAATGAGTGCCTGTAATTTCAGCCATCAGATATTTAACAAATATCCCAAAAATACACACTGGAGAAAAGACAGCATGTTTACTAAATGGTACTAGGAAAACTGAATATCCTAATTTTTGAGAATTTAAAAAATAAATATTTGTAACAATCAGAACAAAAATGAATCCAAGTGTATTTGCTATACATATTTATGTTGTATTCCAGAAAACGCAAGATGAAGACAACTTAAGACACAAAACATAAATTGAGAAGGAGAACAGAAGACAAAATGGAGCTAGAACAGGACTAGGAAATGGATAGCAGAGTTCTGTAAGTTGCTACTGACTGGACCAAAGATTTGTTTCTAAGGTTTCCAACATCATAAATGATAAACATGATCAATTATGCAGCTCAGTGTCCATGGTCTGAGGACCCAGGCTGTCTTATCACCAGGCCTGGCTTGGAGAAGCCACTCAGAGTGTTTGTTAAATGAATGAATCGTGTCAGGGTAAGGACACCTTTTGTCTTGGATCCTGGATCAGCAATACTCCTAGTTCCTTTTGCAGGGGACATTACTTAAGCAGATGATAGTGAGCAGGGCACCCAACTCTTCCTTACAGTTGTGACCCTGGAGTTGCTTATCCTTTCCCTTCACAGGAACTAACAGCATCTCACCAATCTGTGTGTCAATAAAAAAAAAAAAAAAATGGGTCCACCCTGAGCACTCAGTGTTGGTAGAACCTGTAGTAGTCCCAGACCATATTTACAATGAAAGGAAGTTATTTTCCTCTTTGAATATGAGAGATTGTAGTAACAAGGTAATATACCATTCATCGTTTGAATCAAGAACCTTGGGATTTAAAAGCTAGCATTAGCCTTTGAGGGTACTGCAACACATGGTGGCAAAACACATACATATAAAATAAAAATAACACTTTTTTTAAAAAAAGGGAGAACAGCAGTTGTGGTGTACACCATTAACCCCAGCACCTGGGAGGCAGAGGCAGGTGGATCTCTGTGAGTTTGAGGCCAGCCTGGTCTACCGAGTTGAGTTCCAGGACACTCAGGGCTACACAGTGAAACCCTGTCTCAAAGAAACCAATGGTAATAGAAAAATAAAAATAAAAGCTAATTTCCCTCTCTGCTGAACTACTAGCTACTGATATATTTTAGGGGAGGGACAGTCATTGTCTTCTGTACTCATTGAAGATTCACACAGGCTTCAGCAGATGGTTCCAGATTCATGGTCACACACTCAGTGGGTCTCAGAAATGAAAGTCATGGACGTAGAAAGGAGTCTAGTCGGGAAGAGGGTAACAGGTGGGAGAGAAATTGGAGGGGTTTACAATAATCAGAATGCATATTATTCATATAATAAATTGCCAGATAACAAAATCAAAAGCTTTTTTAAAATTTTTGCCAAGTGCGGAGGTGCATGCCTATAATTCCAGAACTCAGGAGGCTGCAGCAGGAGGCTAACAGCCTGGGCTATACTGTGAGGTGGAGGTACTCTGGACTACAAAGTGAGAAAAATAAAACCCAAGAACAACAAAATTCCCTAGCATTTCTCTTGATCCACTTTCCCTGTATTCAGGGATGTGAGGGATGTTTAGACTCTGGCTTTCTGATATATATATAACTCAGGTTCTTGGTGTCTGTCTATGAATGTTATCTAGTTGGTTCTGGATCCAGTATTGGAAGATGAGAAGGGGTCCATCTGATGTCTGCTCTAAAAGCAAAGGAGCATGTAATTTAAAACCTTGTAGCTCATGAACTCAGTATCCTTTAGATGAAAAGTCCTCTATGGGAGAAATCAGCACAGATGTCCTGACCACCTGTTGTTAGCACTCATCCTGTCTGCCTTCCAGACTACCCCTGCACCTGCTGTGACAGGACAGCAAAGGATCACATGACCCATCTGCCATCAGGGTGGTGTGTGGCATGCTCCATGTATGCAGTCTTTTTTTTTTGTTATTATTTTTTTTTTTTTTGAGATGGGGTCTCACTATGTAGCTCTGGCTGTCCCAGAGTTCACTGTGTGACCAGGCTAGTCTTGAACTCAGAGGGATCTACCTGCCTATGCCTCCCTGGTGCTGGGATTAAAGGCATTCCTTCTTAATCTTAATTACTTAACTGCCCAATGCCGTGGTGCTTTCTAGACAAGGAAGCCAGGGGTGTCAAGAGTCACAATAAACAGCTAAATAATAATAATAATAATAATAATAATAATAATAATAATAATAATAATCTGAATTGAAATCTGGCATAGCAGACTTCAAACCTTTGCCCCCGCCACATGACAGCCTTTTTAATAAGATGAGTTGGCTTGCTAAGAAAGAATCAAGATGTGAGCTCTGGTGACTCGATTCTGACGTTTTTTTGAGAGGACTGACAAAATTGCATTTCCTGGCCTAAAAGGCAAAGAAGTTGAGTGTGAGCTTGGGTGACCCTATGGAAGCCATCATCACTCTAGATGACATTGTTTTTGTCTTTCACCCTTCTTCATTGAGTGTCTTAGTAGTATTTTGGCTTTCCCAAAGATGAATCCTTCCTCATTTCTTACTAACAGATATCTTTTAGACGTGCCAATCTCCTTAAGTGGTTTTTAAACTTCTATACATATGAACTGAATACTGGTTGCCTCCCACCTTCCCCTACATTTTCTTCCATAAGCCTGTGAAGCCATTCTCTTCCAGCTAAAATCATCTGGCCCACTAAACTAGCAGCTTCCCCCCTGTGTGTGCTTGCCAAGGAAGAGTCAAGTTAAACCTCAGTATAGGTCAGCTAAAGACCTACATGCCAACTCCTAGGCCCTCTCCACTCACTGAGCATACCACTCTTTGTCCTGTCCCTTTACTCCTAAACCCAAGTACCATCACCTCAGTTTCTCTGAACAATTGCTACCAGTCTCTTAAGTAGCTACCCTATTTCTGGTTCTATGCCTTCAGAGCCACCCTCCTCTGTGCTGCTGCCAAAAACTCATCTAAAATGTAACCGGAGTATCCCAATTTCAGTGTAAAACCATTCTGTGTGTGCAGGATTGCCTACAAGAAATAGTTCAAGTCCACTAACCGGACAGCTCCCATCCTAGTGGCTGCCTATAGCAAGGCTTCTCCAGCAACACCAGCATGTTAACAAAGGCCCATGGAAATCATGGCAAGTTTTCAATTCTATCTTTACTCCAGCTAGCCTGTGTACCTTAGGTGTTCTGTCTTTGGCTTGGCAAGTTCTTACTCATCATTTTAAAAGTTACATGAAATGACTAAAGAAAAAGATTGACAGCAAATTCTAAAATAGCAAACACACAGTTAGCAGAGCTAACAGAGAGAGAACATCAAAAAGGATATGCTTTCAAGGATGCATTAACCCCTGTTAGCTAATAGCCAGGGTTTATTATTGTGTGTGTGAATGCATGTTCGTGTGTGTGCAGGTGAGCATGTATATGCAGACCGAAGAACAACCTCCGCCTTGGTATTTGGTGGGGTCTCTCACTGGCACTTAACTCAATGATAAAGCTAGGTTGGTTGACTGGTGAGGCTAGGGCATCACCTGGGTATCAACCTCCCCAATGCTATGATTACAAGTGTGTACCACCACACCTGACCATATTTACATGGATTATGGAGACCAAACTCAGGTCCATATGAATTTGGCTCAATGACTGAGCCATCTCCCCAGCCCCAGTATCTAGAATTTATAAAGAACAGTTAAAGATCACTAGACAAGGGTTGGGGAGATGCAGTAGTTAATAAACTGTATGTCTCTTCCAGAGAACCTATGTTTGGTTCTTAGCACCCACTTTGAGACAACTGCCTGTA